TTTGATTTTTTTCTTTTTTTATAGGCACAACAACAAGGTGCTTTTAGTGAAAAGCAACATGGCACTGCAGCAACTACAGCACAACAACAACAGCAGTAACAGCAACAACAGCATGACCTGCGGCAGTATCATCATCATCATCATCTGGTTATCAATCCAACATTCAAAGGGTCTTCTTTGTTCGTCTTTATCTTTTTGCTTATGTTTTTGTTCTGCGATGAAAACGAAATGGTATGAGAAGAGGAGGGAAGAAGAGAAAAAAAAAACAGTTAAAATGTTAGATGAAATTGCTAAGCGAAAAAGAAAAATGATTAGGTCAAATGGTTGGATAATTTTTTAATGGGTATGTTGAAGTTGATTTGGTTATTAACCTTAACTGTTATTGGTTATTAACCTTAACTGTTAGTCCACATATTTTTTTTTAGAGAGGGGTTGTTACTACACTTTTCTTTATTTTTTCTTCTTTATTTTAAATAGTGGAAGAAAGAGTGTTTTGTTTTTGGAAAGGTCTTTTTTTTTTACTTATATTATACTGCTCTAATAATTCGATGATGATGAATAACGGCATTTTTTTTTTTAGCCTGGGTTTTTTAATTTTTGTTTTTCAAATTCAGACGGTTAAAGCTTTTTTGTAATTTTTTTTTTTCTATTTGTAACTGCTGCTACTGTATTTGAAATACAGTTCTTTATAGAAGAATTTGATATGAAATAGTTTATTGACAACCCAAAAGTTTTGAGGATTGAGATGATGAGCTAAAATGCCCAAATATTAGTCATTAAAGTTTAAGTTCGAAGTTTTTGATAGTTATTTTGGTTTAGTTAAGTTACTGTTGTTATTGCTGTTATTTTTGCTGTTGGGTGTTGGTGTTAGTGTTGTTGCTACTGCTTGCTCCTTTTGCTGTTGCTGTTGGTACTGCTGCTGTTTGTGCTGGTAATGATGGTGCTGTTGCTGTTCCGAGGCTAAGCATTAAGAACGAAATAATGTTTATCGAGTTAGTTACGTAACCACTTTACCGCTGTGATCAGCAGTCATTTACGTCTGTATGTTTTTCTTATTATCATTGTTGTTGTTTTTTCTTTGTTGTCGTTATTACTGGTATTGTAATTTTTTTTTGCTGGAGTTATGTTGGTTTATATGTTTGTTTGTTAGGCGATCTGTTTGTCTGTCTGTTTTAATTGAAGGGCAATTAGTTTTCTGACTGATAGTGCAATAGAACTAACTGCCGCTGCTATTCCTTAAAGACGGCTTTATCTTTCATGATGCTCGTCGTTCATTCTTGATGTTTTATGATCGCTTATTAGGGTGATGGTGGTAGGGACGGAGTAATGTTAGGATAATTGTTACTTGTTTTTTGATCGCCTCTGTTTGGCTTTTTTTTCTTTTCTTTGCTTCTTTCTCTCTTTCTTTTGATAGTGCGAAGTTGTTGAGAATTTGGTACTTATTACTCAATACCAGGCTGGTAAGCTAGATGATAGATTTATTTGCTGTTGAATTATTTTTTTTTGCATTCTTTATTTCATTTGTTAAAGAAGATGAAAAAGTTTTAGTTTTATTTAGTTTGTCGACAAAATGAACAAAGTCTGTAAGAAAAATTGACTGAAGTATTTTTACTACCTAGTAGGTTCTCCATACTTTTTCCCGTAACACTCCTTTATATAATAACATATATGAATATATATCGTACGCTGCTGCTCTATGGCTAGATGGGAAATAAAAAGAGGAAATAGCAGATAAAGTGGTCGTAGTGAATAGAAATGTGGAGACGGAAGAAGAAGAAAATGAAAGACGAAAGTAATGTTTATTTACTGGCGTCATGAAAAATCGACTGGTATATAATATGCTTATATAATAATTCTGTTACGTGCTTCGATTTTTTTATGCAAAAGCGGCTGTCCGTTGGTGCTGTCCGGCTTTAAGCTTCTTCGTTTGTTGCTTTAATGAGACTTTTGTATTTTTCAACTTTCTGACCGGTGGGTAGCTATCACAAGGAATGGCACTGAATTTAGGAATGGCGAATGGTTTTTGTAGTTGTGTTTCTACTTAAAGCGAATAATTGAAGCAGATAAAATAAAGTTGACTTCTGTACAGTTCCGAAATCACTTATTTACTTTCCTTTTTTTTTTTGATTTTATTATATCGAATAATTGGGTACTGGAAAGAGAAAGGTTTTTTACTCGTTCTTGGCCTGATTTCTAGTTGTTTAGTATTTAACTGTAGTCGTGTTTGGGCTTGATATTTTTGATGCAAACATTTTTCCTTTTAATCCGTCAAGGTGAATCACTTCATCAATGTTAACTTTATTTATTCTTTTTTTACTATTGCCGTAATGTTTGCAGCAAATTTAGTAGAGTAAGAACTTTTTCCCACTGCTATTTGAGGAATAAATGTTATTTATTTAGTCTAAGTTCTATATGTAATTTCTGCAGTGTTTTGTTTAGGTTTAACTTCTCTAGCTCTTAACAATCGCTGTCGAGAAACTTCGCTGTCTTAGAGGAATAGAGTTTCGTTGGCCGGTTTAATTAGAACGTTTTTTGTACTCCTTAGATGGTGGATGAGATACTACAATTTTAAAGTGTAAGTTTTTTTTCTTGAACAAGTAGGTGTAGGAAATTGATTCTGGTTTGGAAGGATTGGTAAGAGGGGATAAACTAGTGCATTTTTGAAATGCTTTATATGATAACAGGTTAACGTTCATTAAAAATAACGTTCATTTTTAATTTATCGGAATATTTGTTGTCCAAAAATTGTAGATATCCTAGTTCAGTTAAATATCTATTTTTTAGCTTTTACAATTTGTTATTTTATGGTTATCGTATCATAGTTAATATTCATACGAAGACTTTCCTTTTATTGCCCTTTATTGACCTCTTTTAGATGACTAACGATGCAGAAATCGCTTTTTCGAAAAAAAGCAAACGTGATTTGCAGCATATAAAAGAGGAGATCATGGCGCATCTTCGTTATTTTCACAACTTTCCTAAACCGGGAATTGTTTTTGTGTAAGTGTAATTACTCATTTTATTTTGAATTTATTTTTTTTAAACAAAGATTTATCGAAAGGGAAGAGGCTGAGAAAATACAAATAATATAAGGGTGGAAAGATTGATTGACATTAGTCATTATGTACCTTTACCTCTCGGGAGTGGTAATTGTAGCTAAAAAGAAATAAGATTTGAAACTCAGGATAGTTTTTCAATCATGCATAAAATTCTTTAACTGCATCAGATTTTGCGGGAATTATTAGGCTAGGATGTCATTTTTACGGGGCTAATTAAATATGAACTTTGTTACCTTTTGGCGACAGTTCAAATCTCAGTCTGTCTACTTGAAGCCTACTTATTTTATGGAAGGCATTCTTTTTTTGGACAATTACTTTTAATCTCCGATACTTCTTCCAGCCAGAAAAGTGTTTTTACTTAATGACTGCTTCAAGGTTGGTAATTTTTATATATAGATTCAGTTATTTCTAATTCTATACCTTTTAGTGATATAATGAAGTTAATGCGGAACCCCTCTTTGGTTGATGAACTTTGTAAGACGGTTGCGGAACATGTCCGCGCAGAGATTCCCGTGCCAGTTAATGCAGTGTGTGGCCTAGAGTCACGGGGTAATTGTATTCTAAAAATTTTTTTTTGCTCTCAAAGCTTTTTTGAGGATAACTTGTGAATTTACGAAAGTCGTTTTTAAGGTTTTTTGTTCGGTCCTCCAATAGCAATAGCTTTGAACGTTCCCTTTATACCAATCCGGAAGAAAGGCAAGTTACCTGGGAAGGTACTACAAGCATCTTATAAGAAGGAATATGGAGAGGTATGTTGCTTTTAGAGAGACGGCGTAAGTGCTATCGTTCGTTCTATATTATCGCTTTGTGGTAACTGCAGCTTTTATGAGCATTTAGAAATGCGTATAGAGAGAAAATAAAGCAGTGTTTTCATACTTTATGAAGAAATGCTTGTTTCAGAACTTAAATGAATTATTTTAAGGATACTTTGGAAATGCAAGCAGATGCTCTCGATGCGCAGTCGAAGGTTTTATTGGTTGATGACCTTCTTGCTACTGGGGGTACTTTAGCAGCTGCTATCGAATTAATAGAAAAAGCTGGCGGTGAAGTTGTTGAGGCATTTATTCTTGTTCAACTTACTTACCTTAACCCTTTGGCTCACATACCAAAGCATGCGCCTGTATTCTCTCTAATCGAAATTGATCACCAATAAGGTTTTTGAATTTTGGAGGCTATTTCATTCGTTGTTCGACGTAAACTGTTCTGCAATGAATTGGATGGCTGTTGAAATTAGACCTCCAGAAATTGTTGTTCAAAGTGAATATGCTCTTCGTTGTATAGTGGATAGTAGAGATATTTTTAGAATTTTTGTTGATTATATTTTTTGTACTTCCCATGCTTGGCTCCAAGGGTCGCTGTTGGTCAAACCTCAGTTAAAAAATAGAGACTTAAGGTTAAAATAAGATTATTGAGATTATTATTGGAGAAAATCCAGATCAAAGTAATTGCAGTCATCTATAATAATATTTTCCTTTCCCTTGTATTCTGCAGTGAAACTTGCACTGCATATCATTTTACTGAAAAGCTAATAAAAATTGAGAGAAGAATGTCTATGTGTAATTTTGTCATTAATTTTTTGCACGATCAGTTATAGAATATGGATGGTATACAGAACTTGACTGCTAGGATTTTGTACTTTTTTGTGTGCATTTACTTTGTTCAGATGCCTTCTGGTCTCGCGCATTCGGAGCATCTGGAAGAGACCAGTCATGTTAGATTTGTTTCGTAGGGTTCTTTACAGCATGTAGAGGTTAGAAAAGCTGAAGATTAACAGTTTTTATCCAGAAGTAAATGTGGAGCTGGATTTTGTTGAGTGCAACTGTCTAAGGTGAATTTCAAAATGGTTTTTGAAAGATACGGAAGATGTTATTTTTGTGCCCAAGGAAGTTGTCAATAAAAAACGCTGGCGGCAGTTTCTTAATTGGATATTTGCTGCAACGAGAACAGTCGTTTCTAAGACTTTTGTACTGACGAAAGGAAGGTTTCTGACGCTGGCCACTGAATTCACTTTTGTTGTTTTGGATATCTGGATGATGAGGTCGTCTTTGGCCGAGTTGACAGTGTTATCACAAAAGTCAGGGTAGATTGTTATAGCTTATCTCCGAGACACTTAGAAATCCGTTCTCTTTGCTAAATTTAAAATGAATTTCTGCAGAGACATTGTTGCATGAGGCCGATGCAGTTGAACAAAGCTCTACTGAGTGTTTTGAAATTAGAAAAATTAGTTCAATCTCGGGAGGAGTGTGTAGGAAATACGAGTATTATATGGTTTCAATAATAGGATGTTACTGCAGCTGTTTACTGACTGCATTTAGGAAGTGCGTAGGTCTTGAACTTATAGCTGATGTCAAAATTTTACGAGATTTATTCTTCTAAAAATTGCCATATTTCTCCCTATAAACTCAATGGACAAAAATCAACACTGCTTTTGACGGACAAATCTAGTTTGAGTCCAGGGTCAGCGACCTTTCTGCTAAATGTTATCACCTCGTACCAATGATGGCATATTTTTTCCAATCATTGTGACACAGACTCTCACGCGCAGTAAGAGGAGAATGAATAGCTGCGCTTAAATGCGCTGCCTATAAACAAACTTTGTATGTTTATACCATTGACTACACTAGTTTTTGCGAATATTTTGTTTTGAAATTCATTAGAACATTATTTCATTTTGCTAAGGACAAAAATTCCCATAAATAATTCAAAAATTGTAGAAGCGTTGCCGCTCACACTGTACAAACTGTTGCTTGACCATAGTTTTTTACCAAAAATAAGAATTTTGATGTTACGTTTAAAAACCATGGAAGCATATGTAATACTCTCGTTACGGTCAAAAATTAATGATACAGCCTGAAAAGAAAATTTATTTGCTGTTCTCCTACGTAACATTTATTAGCATTTTCACTGTGCAACTGCATTAAATATACATTTCTAATCATTGAACCCTACTAGGCTTTCTTACCACCTGTAAGCCTTAAACACTTATTAGAAAACAATTTACCCAACAAATTTTCTTTCAAGTGCTTGAATACATCTGATATTAAGTGCTTTCGATAAGTTGAGTTAAATTTGAGATTAGGCAGAAAATTTTAAAGGCTTTATATTGACTTCACACCCACCGTTTTACACTCCTCCTAATTATGTCTCTCGTCCTCTCATTGTAGAAATCAGTTTTTTAAAGTGAACAACAACATGCATTCTTGTACACCTTACCAATAAAACGTGCTAACATGTATTACCAATGAATCTGTAAAAAAGTAAAAAAAAATCCCACTTCGTGAGAGAAATATAAAAAGGAGACTTGGGTAACACAATAAAGCTCAGGTGGCTACGGTAACAAGTGGTATTTTTGCAGCTCGGTAGGAGGGAATTATTGGGTAAGGCGCTTAACTTTAGGTTTCGAGGATTGCTCACGGCCAAGTTTTAGTTCAGTAGTACCGAGGCAGAAGAAATGTAAATTGATACTTCTCAAATACCTTGATACTTTTGATACCTTGATACTTCTCAAAAACCGAATGTATGAAGTTGGAGCGAAGCTAAAGACGTTTTGAAATTGACGTATTCTTTTCCTCTCTCAATTTCTTCTGTCTAAAGCGAGAACGGTGACAGAAAATTTTGAGCTACTGTTTATGCTAATAAAAGCTTACAACGTAAAGCGAAGAATTGTTTACGTGTGAGGCAAGAGGAGAGAGCATTACTACAAAGAATAGAGTTGGCATTTAGATCAGATATGGGTCATCAATGGTGGTGGTGATGTTGTGGAATTTTGAGATGCAAAAATCAGCTCTTTTTCATGCCTAAGTTTAACAACAATTTATTTTGCTTTCCTCACGTAGCATTAAGGCACCCGCCAGCTCTTCGTTTTTTTTTTTTTTTTTT